TATATTATGGCAGATATTAAACACTATGTATATTTTATTAGACTGAATAAAAAACCTTGTTTTTATGGTTATTTTTAAAGTGGAAAATAATAAATGGAGGCACGGTGGAGTAACGGATTCAGGAATCGGAGAGCCGAGTTCGAATTCCACTCGAATCCATTACATTCACTTACGTGCTAATACCCTTGGGAAAGATATGAATCCTCTTCTCCCCACCCAATAACTAAATAGCAGAACATGCCGGGATGGCAACTGGTCTACTGCAAAAAAGAAATGGCAACCTAATGCGGGGAAAAAATCTGCCACGTTAGTCATGTATCGAAAGATACATGATCGCCTAAGTGATTGAAATAATAAATATTGCATTGTAGTTAGTTTACAGTTTTTGTAATTTTTAATAAATTTTTGAATAAAAAATTTCTTTTCAAATTTCTTTCTTTATAAAATGGTAAAAAAATGAATATTTATAAAAGTTAAGTAATAAATATCGTGCTCTACTTGGCTCGCATATCTTGAAAATAAATATTGCCGAAGGAGTCAAAAGTATTTACAGTAATAGCGGTGTCAAGAGAATAACCGTCCTTTTGAAACATTGTTTTTTTACAGGCACAAAGGCTAAACATTGTCAAAGTTTTGACTTTTCTTAAATTGTACACGTGATATCATAGTTTACATAAAGAGCTACGATTTGCGTATCCCATATATATATATATATATATATATATATATATATATATATATATATATATATATATATATATTTTTTTTGTTAAGTATTTTTGCTCCTCTTATACAACGATAGTGGCAATTATTGAGTTACTTCTGGTATGTCTAGAGCAAAGCTTAATGGTCATAACTTAAATTTGCGACGTGACAGTTTCACAGGGAATGCATCTCCTGTTGAAATTTTTGGGCCGAGTGTGCATACGTATATGTCATAACATGAAGAGTTATAGAATAGTGCAGGTTCAATCATGGGAGTAGGTCACGAGGAGTGGGGAAAACAAATGTTTTGCTGGGAAGGGAAATGTTGTAATTATATAGACGCTGAGAGAAATCTTTTAAAAGTATTTTCTTTCTTTCTGCTTATATCTATCTATCTATCTATCTATCTATTCGTAGAGGAATAATTAATAATAGTTTTTTGTCGCCTATTGCCACTGTTCGGACCCAGATTTCAAATGCTGATTTGAAATATCAGTCTTCAAGGTGGCGCTTGAGGATTGATAAAATTTACCTGCTCTTATTGCCCCACTACCCTAGCATCATGATAAATTCACTAATATATATATATATATATATATATATATATATATATGTGTGTGTGTGTGTGTGTGTGTGTGTGTGCGTGCATATTGTTCTTTTATATAAATATTTGTTACAAATAAAATCCTTGCATTTGCCTTGATAACGTTCGTTAGAGGACGAAACGCGTCGTCTAAGAAAGTTTTCCTTTTGTATTTATTCATACACACAACACCCCCCCCCATATATATATATATATATATATATATATATATATATATATATATATATATATATATGTCGATTAAACCAAGTAATCTGTAAAGAAAGCACCAAAACCAGACCTACTAAGATTAATCCTGCCAAAGAAAAAAAAAAAAGAAAAAAAAGAAAAGAAAAAGTAAAGACAGGTACCAACCAAAGTAAAAAGCTTTCATGCTAAATGCCTCTATAAATCAAGCTAAGTTACAGAGCTGTAAAAACATCAAACACCAATAAGCGCTCACTGACACAGAACTGAAATCTTGACTCCGAGGTTCACGCTAAGGCAATCTTCAGATATTAAAGATTATATATATATATATATATATATATATATATATATATATATGGATGCGATGGGTAAATTGTTGTCATTTTATATTTTAATTTCGCGCATGCGTGTTGTTTGTTTTTGATTTTGTCGACTTTAGTAGGCTCAGTTTGGCACCGTCTGTGATGAAAATAGCACCATGACGTAATTCACTCCCCCAGAAATTTGGAAACTGCATGCTGTATTGCTTGGCATTCGTCTCGAAATCCCCAATACAAACTTTTTCGGAGTGTTTTGGGTGTCAACCTGAGGACTGTGCAGAGGGTTCGGAAAAGGTTGGGTGATTCTAATGGTGATTTCGAAGATGTTTGGAGTAATTAGAAGTGATAACGACGTTATGTCCCCATTCATCTTCCTACAGAGCCTCAGACTCAAGACGTAGGCCTACATTAAGTCCCTTGAGGAGGTAGTGCTTCCCCGGATCAAGAGGGTGACTGCTGGAAGATATTATATCTGGCAATAGGATTCTGCACCATGCCACACAACCTGGAGAACCCAGTCATGGCTGTGAGACAATTTCTGTGACCACATCACCCCTTATATCTGGACACCTAACTCTCCAGACAGCAAACCCCTTGATTTTTAACTGTGGGGCGCAGTTGAGCGAAAGACCAACAAAACTCCTTGTCACACCAAAGATGAACTGAAGGCAAGGATTATGGTAGCATTTATCAACTTAAACAAGGAAACCGTCCAGAAGAGATGCAAGGAGATTCGGAATTCATCTGGAGGCCGTGGTTGAAGACAGTGATGATTTTATCGAATAAATTTAAATTTGCTCTTTAGTATTTCAAGATATTTTTGTGTAATTTTGGTAAGTATATCTGTTAGAATGAAATATCAGTGTTATTTTCATTTTAATTTAATTTAGACGACATCTCAGTCCATATATATATATATATATATATATATATATATATATATATATATATATATATATATATATACGGAGACCTAAGAACTTTTGTCCGCAACATACATGTGGAAAATTTCAGCATAATAGACTCATCCGTATGCAAAAAAGTTTATGGAAGCGTTAATAATAAAAGAGAAGAAGCCAACTTTCAATAATATCAATTATGAACACGGTCACATCGTGCTGGCCGTATTCGGAAACATTTACATCGCTATATACGCATAAAAATCTACCTATTTAAACAAAAAAGAGCTTTGGTATAGCTTAATAGATTATCCGAAAGCACTCGGATTCACAGATCATTTGAACATTATCTATACACTGTATATCCAGAAAATAAATGACTTACGAATGCAAGAAAAATTCAATAAAATGCTGTGCGCTCTGCCTTAAGTCAGTCATCTTCAGTTAAACTTGTATCAAAAAAAGATATTGCTGCCCAAATACACAATTATGTGAGTGTGTGTGTGTGTTTTTTCGTTTGCTTTTTCTGTGTCTGTGTGTGTGTAGGCAGCATATCTTCATTCAAGCCTGTTTGGTTGAATAAGCTGGACATATTATGTCTATTTATTTTATTTTAACCCTCTCGAATAATCGGATCTATTTTTTATGTCGATATTAAATTCATTAAGGAAGACGGCGTAGTTTTTTTCATTTCTTTTATGTTCCCAAGTACTTTTCAATCTCATCCATATAATTGATAGATGGGAATGTTTTTGTAATTGCGCATGAAACGCGCTCCACGATAATTAATTTCAAAATTGACTGTTAAAGATATTATGTTTTAGGTAAGTGAGGTAACTTTAATTATTATAATTGTAATTTTTAAAAATATTACAATTTAAATGTTTTAAAAAATTGCAGTTATAGTAATTTTAAAACATTGTTGCTATAATCATATAATTAACCTTATTTAGAGTTGGTTGTATTTTTCTTAGAGACCCTAAAGAACTTGAAGTTTTTGTTTTTTCTTATTTTCACGGTGGAGTATACTTGTATTGTCAATTAATATTTCTTTAAATCGGAAATGTGGACAGGAATGGTCATTTACATGTGCAATAGAGCTTGAATCCGTCTTAATGAATCCGTCATATTTATGGGATAAAAGTGTCTCCAATATCAGAGATAGAGCGTGTAAATATGCCTGACGATTTTAGATAATGTCGCCTATATATATATATATATATATATATATATATATATATAAAATATATATATGAGCAGGTAAAATGGTCGGCTCCCTGTACCGTTCCAGTAAGTACCTGACTCCTCATGCTATCCTCTAACTTTACAAGAGCCAGATCAAGCCTAAATTTGAGTACTGTCTTCATATTTGGCTGTTTTACAAATAACCTGCCCGGTTCTTATCTTCCAGCTCAAAAGCGTCTCCGAGTCTTTTTGGGTGACGAATTATTTTCCAGCTTTCAGCCTCTCTCTCACAGGCAGGGTGTGGTGAGTCTTTCACTGCTCTATTGCTACTTCCATGGAAAGTACTTGGACGAACTACATTTCTTGGTTTCCGCCAGTTCTAATCTTCACAGCTAGGACCTGCCATGTCACTTACTTTGTTAGAAATCACCCATATTTCCTCCGTATTCCATTGGTGAGAAGTTCCTCTGAAACAGCTTTTTTCCCGCGAACCACTGCTCGGTGGAATAGACTCCGAAAAGTATATTTCCCCGATCACTACAATCTTAACCTGTTCAAGGCTAGGGTTAACCGTTGCTACCCCTCCTATTTGTATAAGCTACCCCTTAACGTAAGCATCTATCTCGAGTGGCTATTGGGCCTTGTACAGAGTAAACCTCACTAATATATATATATATATATATATATATATATATATATATATACAAATGAGAGAAAGAACAGATGGAGTAAAAATCCACTGTTCGTAGCATTTACTTTTAAAAAAGTGCTCAATACAAAGTAGAGCAATAAATTATTATTATTTCTTTAAGGAATTTTAAAAACAAAGTGTTACCTCTTTTCCGAAAGTTAACGTGGAGAGAGGGACATAAGGTCAAAATTAAAAATAGACTTGTGGGTATGTCTTGATTAACCAATTAAATGTCAGATCCAGGTTAATTGGTTAATCAAGACATACCCACAAGTCCATTTTTAATTCTGACTTTGTGTCCCGACATAAGAGATGTAACACTTTGTTTTTAAATTTTCTTATAAATCATTTAATCACCAAATACTTACTATCGCCTGAAGAAATAAAATCATAGTAGTGAAACATGAAAGCTTTTTGTGTAGCGATTTCAAAATGCTTATATTATAATCTCTTATAATAAAAATATTAAAATATATATATATATATATATATATATATATATATATATATATATATATATATATATATATATATATAGACAGCCTGAGTTGTTACTCTTTCGAACAGAAGAACGTAAGAGCATGAAACTCAGGCTGTCGTTTGTTCATGGCTAGGTATTTGCCTTTTTGGTTTTTCATTCGTTTTACTTTCGTTGCTTGGTATTTTTCTCATTTAAGCCGTTATATCCACTGTTAAGTCGTCTGTTGGTCACGGCAACATAATTGTGTTTTCTTTTAATAGAAGTAGTAGTATTATATATATATATATATATATATATATATATATATATATATATATGTATGTATATATATATATATATATATATATATATATATATATATATATATATATATATATATATATCTATATTAATAAATACATAGTACCCTACAGTACTGTCGGCGTGGGATATTATCTATATTTATTAATATTAATAAATATACATAAATTAAATAATACATAATAGCTCTCTTATTTTGCATTGACCACTGTTTTATTTAAACCAAAGGATATATATATATATATATATATATATGTGTGTGTGTGTGTGTGTGTGTGTGTGTTGTGTGTGTGTGTGTGTGTGTGTGTGAACATTTGCACGTACATATATTTATATTTATTTACTTCATTACAGTGGAGAAAAATCTGCCTCGTCAGTCATGTATCGAATGGTATATGATCGCCTAAGCGCGTGTTACGCATAACGTATAACTGACATATATATATATATATATATATATATATATATATATATTCTGTTTATACGCAATTATTATGCAATTATTAATTTATTATCAAACTTAATCCATTTCATTTTTCCACTTTTTTTATTTCTTCATTTATTGTGTTCTCTTTTTCTTTCTTTCTTGAGAAACTTTATTAAGGCACGTGTAGAAATGTATTTAGTAATCAATATTTATACACAGAAGTACAGAAAAATAACGTTAAATATTTAAATTTTCAATTAGAGAACGCTTTAAAATGTTCTATAATAGAATAAACATATTAAAATACAAAAATCAAAGCATATAAAGAGAAATGATTAAATTAAATATCAATAACAATAGTAATAAATAACATTAATCAACTGATGTCACTTGGCCTTCTCTAACTTTTACGCTACAACATTTTAAAATGTTTCGGCATAATTGATTTTCTTCGTTTCATTTCTGTTATTAATATTGTCTTTACGTTTTATTTACATCTGAATTTATACACACACATACACACACACAGAGATAGACACACAGACACACAGAGTTAGGCACAAACACAGATAGACACGAACACACAGACACACCGACACACACATCTATCTATCTGTCTATTTAAATTTGCTATTGTTATAGGGTAAAGAATGTTCAGTATCGGGATATAGCGTTTATGGATATAATTGTGAACATAGGAATCAAGACCGCATGATGTCTGTCAGTTTAACACCTCAATGCGATCTTCAGGCCGATCTTCTGCATGGTCTGAAAGCAGCACTGAGGCGTAAAACAGTGTTGTTGCTATAGTCACACACACACACACACACACACACACAAAACAGACAGACACATGTACACACACGCACACACAAGTACGCAAGCATACACATGTACGCACGCACACACACGTATGCATGCACACGTTTTTTCTCTTTCTCTTTACGAACACATCTATTTTTTACGACTTCTACTTATATATATATATATATATATATATATATATATATATATATATATATATATATATATTATTGTATGTAGCGCTACAGACATTGCGTGTTTCTCTTTAGTAATGAGTGACATCGATAACGACTCGGATTGAGGAATCCGAGAACCGACTTCGAATTCCACTCGAGTTCATTACATTCACTTACGTGATAATAGTACAAATGTTTGACCCAACCCCCGCCGGCTACGGGTAAATATCAGGATAGATTGGGGTGGCAAACTGTGGGGGGTCGTTTGGAGATCTTGCGACATACTGTTCTCGGCCCTTCCAAAATTGTGGTTGGTTCTGCACAAATTTTCACCATTAAAATCATTGATATGCGCGGCTAGTCTCGGTGTTGGCTTTAGGAACTGAGTTCTCTCTCTCTCTCTCTCTCTCTCTCTCTCTATATATATATATATATATATATATATATATATATATGGTGCGATGGGTAATTTGTCACCATTTTATAGTTTTAATTTTGCGCATGCGTGTTGTTTATTTTTGATTTTGTTGACTGCACAGTAGAGTAGATTCAGTTGGGCACCGTCTGTGATAAAAAGAGCATCATGACGCAATTCACTCCTGCCAGAATTTTGGAAACGGCTTGCTGTACTGCTTGGCGTTTGCACCGGAAGCTCCAATACGAACATTTCGGAGTGTTTGGGTGTCAATCTAAAGAGAGTGAAGAGGATTCGGAAAGAGTCGGATGAGTTTCATGGTGATAACGAAGGTATGGCAGCTCATAAATCTCATTCTGATTGTTCGGATAAGAAAAGAAATCCCGAATTTGTTGGTGAGAGCCCCAGACTTTACACGCAGGTCTACATTAAGTGCCTTGAGGAGATAGTTCTGCCCTGGGTCAAGAGGGTGACTACTGGAATACCCTATGTCTGGCAACAGGAGTTTGCACCAAGCCACTCAAGCAGGAGAACCCAGTCATGGCCGTCAGATAATTTCTGCGATCGCATCAACATTTACATCTGGCCACTTTACTTCCCAGACTGCAAACTCTTTGATTATTATGTGTTGGGTGCAGTTGAGTGAGAGACCAGCAAAACACCCTGTAATACCAAAAATGATCTGAAGGCAAGGATCATGGTAGCATTCACCTTTCTTAAATAAGGAAACCATCCAGATGAGTTGCAGTAGATGCCGAAGTCGTTTGGAGACCGCGGTTGAAGCCAATGGCGACTTTATTGAATAAATTTACTCTTTAGTATATTGTGTCTACTTATTCTTGATAGGATCATTTCATATTTGCGAATAAGCATTTTTGTGCGGTTGTTAAAAGACGAGCGGAAAATAGCGTGTTGGCTCATACTGTGTTTATTCCGAGTACTTTCGACATAGCATATTGTCATCATCAAGGTATTGTTAATTCTAGAATAAGAATTTAGTGAATGACAAAAATTGTAGTGGCCTTCCGAAAATTACAATTTTTATATGTAGAGTCGGAACGCTGTGTCATGGCATGGGTGACACGGACTCTGTTTAAGGGGAGGTAACTATATATACCGTGGAAAAATGTGTGGTTGGTTCTGCTCAAGCTTTCACCATTAAAATCAACTGATCTCTCCCTCTCTCTCTCTCTCTCTCTCTCTATATATATATATATATATATATATATATATATATATATATATTTCGATTATAGGTGCAGTTCAATTTATAATTACATGAATCATTCATACAAAAAAACAAATATAGAGGTTAATGATTCATGTAATTATAAATTGAACTGCACCTGTAATCGAAATTAAAATAACTGATCCAACGTGCAACTTTTGGATAATAAGTGTGACATTCCTGTAATTATTGAACAATATAGTTCATACCACATTGACGGAAAACCTACCAGTACAAAAGAATTCTCTTATTACTATATTTGTACAAAAACGCACAACTTTAAAATTTAAAATTCAAACTCAGCGTTGCGACCGCACGTTCCAAAATAATAACACATTTCTCATAGCATTTTTTCGGATTGCATCTCTATTTTCGTTGTCCTCTTATTACCGAGAAGTAAAAAACAAGAACAAATCTATATGTTGTGGGTGCGTAGTTGAGTGCTTTGGAGGTGATTAAGGCTGTGAGTAAATTTAGCTCGACGAAACAGTTTGGAAGCCTTCGATTGTTTTGCTAGAGCGTTTTGGTCTTGTTTAACTCAGTCACTTATGTTCACTGTGTGATACACGCTTAGGCGATAATGTATCTTTCGATACATGACTGACGAGGCAGATTTTTCCCGCAGTAGGTTGCCATTACTTTCCCCGGTAGACCAGTTGCCATCCAAAGCTACAGAACCCGGCATGTTCTGCTATTTACTTAATGGGTGGGGAGAAGAAGAGGATTCATATCTTTCCCAAGGGTATTAGCACGTAAGTGAATGTAATTGATTCGACTGGAATTCGAACTCGGCTCTCCAATTTCTCAATCCGAGCCGCTATATATTACTCCACCGTGCCTATCAGAAACTGTAACTGTAACCCACACAGGATTTTTGTAGTATGAATCAGATCTTGACTGTCTGTGTGTTGAAGAAACCCAAATGTACCTGAGCAGGCGACAGCAAGAGGGATTGGGCGCCATCTTAGTTTTCAGTGACATTTTGTTGCCCTTTTTAAGTTATTGTTATTTTTCGTTTTTCTTTTTACTTCGCCTCCCCTTTTCAATTTTTGTCTTTCTTTTCCCTTACACCTTCATCCTTATCATCTTCTTTCTCATCTTTTTTCTTCATCTCGGTCGCCCTATTCACGTCTTCATTGTTTCTTTTTCTTCTTCGCGTTTTTTCTTCGCGTTCTCTCCTTCCCCTCCCATTCTGTTTTTCTTCTTTTTCTCTTTCTATTCCTTCTTTTATTTTACATCCGCCTTCTTCTTCTTCTTCTTGTTTTTTTGTTGTTGTTATTCTTGTTTACATTTGGCCTTTCTTTAATTTTCCCATATCTTTTAAAAGTGATGAAGGAGGAGATGGAGGAGGAGAATGTGATGTATCAGGTCACGTCGGACCCTGAAGAATTCATAAAAATCTAAAGCTCGAGAAGAGGTCCACCCTATCCCCCTCCGCCGCGACCGAAACCACCTCTCCAACCACCCCCGTACCGAAGCTGTATACCGTCTCACCCCATTGCCAAACTCCTGTTTGCTAAAGCCCATACACAACGCACGCAAGAACCTGCCCCCGCTTCCCACCCTGCAAATCTAAGGTGGAAAAAAAAAGACCCCGGAGAAACTATTTAATAGATTGCAATTTAGGGTCGAGCTAATCCTCGTCTTAAAACCACGATTGCTGTCACGAATCCCTTTCTTTATGTAAAGAAAAGGGCAAAAGAAAGACAATAAAATAGCCCACATCTATCTGTCTGTTTGGCTGGCTGGCTGGCTGTCTGCACCTATGTCTGTTCATTATCTATCTAACTATCTATCTATCTATCTATCTATTTATCTATCTATCTTATATATATATATATATATATATATATATATATATATATATATATATATATATATTACTTATCTAGCAATCTCAACAGGCTCATGTCATTTTCACAACTCCCACACACACACAAAACGCAGAGAGAGCGTCAATGATAGAGAGAGAGAGAGAGAGAGAGAGAGAGAGAGAGAGAGAGAGAGGGTGACACACACACACACACACACATATATATATATATATATATATATATACACACACACATTTAGTATATATATATATATATATATATATATATATATATATATATATATATATATATATATATATATATATATATATATTTAGTAAATCACAGTTAGATTTATACCAGACTTTTATAACTTCCTTTCTGTCTGTGTTAGTAATCTTATCTTCCTTCTCGCTCTTTTTCCCATTCTCTCTCCAAATGTACGTTTGGGTGGAAGTGTAAAGTCGACTAAGACAGAGCAATATTTACACACAAACTGATGCAAACATACGTATTTATAGACATACACGCACAGGGATTAAAAAATCTATTTGGTCATTTGGCCAGATTTAGGTTGATTTAAGAACATTTTAGCACACCCACGGGTATAGATAGATAGATAGATAGATAGATAGATAAGGGACAGAGTGCGATATATAGATATGAACAGTGAGATAGAGATCTGAACAGATTGATATATAGATCGATCGATGAATATGAACAGTGACATAGATATGAACAGAGTAATATAGATAGATAGATAGATAGATAGATAGATAGATAGATAGATAGATAGATATCCAGCCAGCCAGCCATGGAAAAGTTAAATAGGTAATGAAAAGCATAGAGGAAGAGGAAATGATAATAACCTTGACATTCCCTGCTTATCTATTTTCGTGTCTCTTTCTCTCTCCAATCTTTGACGTTTTCTTTTTCTCATTTCGACTTCTTATCTTTTAATTTGCCCCGCTGACTCTGGTCTTCGCCAGAGGAGAGCAAGGCGATATTTCAATAAACAGAAAAGAAGTTGAGAAAATTCTTTCAAATAGTCAATCGCTTATCGTATTATTTACGATACAAATTTTTAGCTACTCCGTGTGAAATCGACTACAGAAAGCACTGCTGATATTTACAATAGAAATGGATTGAAAATCAGAAAGAAAGCATTGTTTATGGTCAGGAATTATAACAAGCATTACTGAGAAGATAGAGGTAAGCGATGTAAAATGTAAATACATTTCTAATTACGACAGAATTGAACCGTAAACCATTTAGCTAGAGAAATGGTAGTTAATAATTTTACAATAGAAATGCATTGAAAAACTGGATGGAAGTGGTCGTTTAGAAGACATGAAATACTAACAAAAATGCTTAATATATATGAAAGAACAAAAAACATATATGAAGCATGTTCTTACCCTCTCGCAAAGTTTAAATATCTAAAACTTTTCATAATAAAGAATATTAGTCACATATGTAACAGCCTTAAAGCCAGTTGTATTACACACACATACACACACACATATATATATATATATATATATATATATACTCGACTCTCCCGTCAAGATCAGTTCCTAGGAAACCGACAGCCCAACAACAGCATATGAAATTTGATTATAGTGGTGAAGGTTTCGTACAGGATCATCCAGACTTTTTGAAGGGCCGAATACAAAGACCTGGTGCACTACGTGCCACAAGGTCACCAAATGACCCTCCGCAGGTTTTGAATTCAGAGTTGTCTTTCTCCTAGACCAGTTGCCATCGAAGGCTATATAACCCAGTCTGTCCTGCTATTTACCCATAGCTGGAGGGAGAAGAAGAGGATTCACACCTTTCCCAAGGGTATTAGCACGTAAGTGAATGCAATGGATTCAACTGGAATTTAAACTCCGATTCCTCAATCCAAGTCGCTATCCATTACTCCATCGTGCTTTATATATATATATATATATATATATATATATATATATATATATATATATATATTTACAAAACTTTCCGTAGATACGACGGATAAATTCAAAATTTTTAAATAATTATAACAGAACGTGTTACTACGTGATTTTTTTAAAAATCACTATCCTAACGAAATGTAGATTTTGTCACAGTTACAATAAATTTGTTTTTGTAATTCACCCCTGACAATGATCCTGGTGGAGATCGAAAGTACTTGGGTAGGTAAAAACTACATAAAAATGTTCGTCCTGGGTATGACAATAAACTGCACCCGGCATTAAATAACCCATTGAGGTTAATATGCCGTAAAACAAAACAAACCAAACCAAAGCAAATCAAACATAAAAGTTTATATGTCACACATTTCTATATTACCAAGAGTTCGCTATATCATTTATTACTGCAATATCCTTATATTAGAAATGTTGTATTAAATTCATTCAGGCTCCGTAGATAAATAAACTTTTAAATATATGTCTAGTGGATTAAAGCGTTGGTTCGTGAGTTTGGTGACATAATGATTGCGAGTTCAATCCCTGAGTCGGCCAGTCTGTACTTGGACTGAGTAGAAACGGGTTGGCAATGATTGAGAAGCATTAAAAATAAGAACTAGACGAGATATCCATAAATTTGGACAGTTGTGCGAGAACAAGCTATCTCCATAGATTTAATAAAAGGTTCAGTTTAGAATTCCATGTATATTATCCAGATCGATCTACACCTGACGAAGTCGAGGGGGGGATTGCAACAGTCAAAATGTTGTGATAGCAAATTGAGGACAATATAATATATTATTTACAATATAAATAGTGTAAATAATATTAAAATGTTCTTAATTATTATGGACCTCATTTATAACAAAAGGACAAGGCAGAGGATCAGTTTTTATCTTAAATTAATTTTAGTTTAGTTCAATATTCAGAAAATATTGAACATAAGCAAGAACATGCAGGGCAACATGTAGAGATACATAAAGTTTTTTTTATGCATAAATAAAATACATCTGTTTATATTTCTATGATGAGGTATTGTAATTACTTACACTATCTATATTGTTCGCACTGTTGTCTTTATCTTCGTTGCCATATTCACGACGTGTCGGCCGTTGTACGCCCCGGCCTTCTTTAGGTGATTGGAATTTCGAACCCTTTATTTCATTCACTAGGGTAGATTGATCTACTTCCACGTGTCATGCCTCTTCCAGATGTCTCAGTATTAGTTATCTCCCTTTTAACTCAACTCTCAAAGTTTTTGTTTACCAACGCAGTAGCCAGGTATTGAACTCACAACACTTTGGGTCAAGTCACTGGATTCGATCAACACTGGGTCGAATATCCTAGAGAACATCAGTTTTTGAGATTTATAAACCAAATATCTCAGCTGTAATTTTTTTTTACCAGAGCTCATATTACAATTTTGTCGTTACTATTGTTTTTCTCTCGCACTCCGAAGAAAGACGGTGTGTACAACGATCAAAACGAGTGAATATGGCAACAAAGATGAAGAAAACAGTCCAAACAATGTAAATAGTGTAAATAAATAAAATACAGTTTCTAAATTATTTAAATTTTACGTCAGTTTTTGAAGAATTATCCAAGTGGATTAGGTTTCATACATATATCTTTAGTGGTCACATTTGGAGTCTGATTATCGGCAATACTTGAAAATAAAATTGATAGAAGATGGTGATCTAAAAACAATTAGTGTAAACTTTTGGACTTATTTTTTTAAAGCTTATCAACCTTTTGCGGGTTATTTAAAACCGAGACATATTTTTGGTAGTAAGAATAATTGCTTTTTAACGAATGAATATTGCCTTCAGTTCAGTCAGTTATGTGCCAGCCGTGATACACACTTAGGCGATCATACATCTTGCGACACGAGGGCACCTACAGGCGGTGTAACGGTTAGCAAGCTTGTCTCGCTAGCACATTTATGAATGAGTAGTGAGTTCGATTCTCACTGGGTGCCCCATACTTTCGGCCTTGTGCCACATCTAAGTTACGCTTGGAAAATTCCTTTCGATACATGACTGACGAGGCAGATTTTTTTTTTCCTGTAGTATGTTGCTATTTCTTTCTGTGGTAGACCAGTTTCCATCCAAGACTATGGAACCCAGTCTGTCTTGCTAGTTACCCATAGCTTGGGGCGGGGAGAAGATTCATACCTTTTCCAAGGGTATTAGCACGTAAGTGAATGTAATGGATTCGACTGGAATTTGAACTCGGCTCTTCGATTCAAGCCGCTATCCATTACTCCACCGTGCCTCCTGAATATTGCATTAACAATTTTTTAGAATGACAATTATTTTTTTCCAGGCAAATCCTATCATTTAACCCATAGCACAGGAGGAATGTGGATTCATACCTTCCCTAAAGGTATTTACGCGTAAGTGAGTGTAACGAATTCGACTGGAATTCGAACGACTTTCTGATTTCTCATTCCGATCCGTTATTCATTGCACCACCCGCACATCCGTAAGTTCTTAGAAAAATACATTTTTGAGAATTACATGTCACATGTAAGAAGCTATCGACTAAAGAGTATTTTTTATACAAGACAGTGTTCTTTGATATTCTTTAAAGGCAACCTGTCTAGGAGAAGGACAACTCTGAATTCAAAACCTCCAACTATTTAGCCTCACCAACATGCATTTGGCCAAGCATTCCTGGAGACATGGTCAGTCATGGAGAGGTTGCTCCAAAAGAGTGAGCTTCCAGTCCTGGTACCCTATCATCGGATTTTATCGGATTGAGGAATCTGAGAGCTATATTCGAATTCCAGTAGAGTTTTTTTTTTTTTT